TCTTCTGCCTATTCTCTAATTGCTCTTTCTCACTCTCATTATATACATTTTTGGCTTCCTATTTACGATGTAATTTAAGATGTAATTTACGGTAGAATTTACAGTGTAATTTACAGTGTAATTGGCGGTGTAATTTGCGGTGTAATTTGCGGTGTAAATTGCGGTGTAAATTGCGGTGTAAATTGCGGTGTAATTTGAATTGATTGACACAAATAACACAAATAAAGAAACGCACACAAAAAAAATCAATTAATTTCTAAAAGGAGACTGTGTTACCGGTGTAACAGTACATGTAAAACACAACAGTGGGTCTCAGAAAATTACCGCGATCGATTTGTCATGGAAAAGAATATTCGATGAACGTCAAAAAGGGGAAATATCAATGCAAAAAAAACTAGGGTATACAAATAATGAGATTTCTCTAGTTCTCGTTCTTCTGTACTACGAGTATGGGAAGCACACTAGTCCTAAGGAACGAACCGGTCGACCACGAATTTTTAACACATTTGCACGCAAACAACTCAAGCTTTCAGTGGTCCAAAATAAAAATACTCGTCACCAAACTCTTTCTCAAATACGTCTAAACTATAAACAAACTATCTCTACACAAACTATTCATAATGAATTAGCTAAGGAAGAAGTTCACTCGTGTGTTCCTCGTCTCAAGCCACTAATTTCCGAAGTTGATAAAGCCAACCGTTTGTCTTAGGCAGTCGCTCATGAATATTGGACAGTAGAAGACTTTAAAAAATCATTTGGTCAGATGAAACTACTTACACACAGTTTCAAACTTCGAGTTTTGGACGTGTGTGATGTGAATCTTCAGAGTTCCGTCGCATGTTCTGGGGATGTTTGTCCTGGATTGATTTAGATCCACTATTTCCTTGGTTGGTTACTGGCTGGTGCTACGCACTGCGAGATTATGCAATTCCCACGATTAAATCATGCAATAAAATAAAAAATTTCTCTTTCAAGAGGATAACACGACTGTTCACGCTGCAAAAGTCGCTCGTTCTTGCCTCAAACTTAGAGCTGTTTCCCTTGGCCGACCCAAAGTTCTGATCTTAATCCCATAGAAAATATTTGGTCATGTATTGAGGTTAAATTCGTCAACGTGATTCACAGCCCTCAAGTATTCACATTGGAAAGGTGGGTTAAGGAGAAATGGGATGCGGTACCGGAGAGTTATTACCGCGATTTAATTGAATCTATGCCACGACGGATTCAAGCTGTTATTGCAGCGAATGGGGGTCAAACGAAGTTCTAATTTGTATTTTGATATCGTAATAAATAAATAAAAATTCATAAGTTGGTTGGTTCATAAAACGTTTTACAAAATGTCCAGTAACTCACAATTTTACTATGATAACTACTCTCGAACTCCAAGTGAAAATACTCGGCATGAAATTTAAGATACTGGATATTGATACCTTGTCGAAAGCAGGTCAATGAAATTCCTATTAAATTCGCATGTTACACACTAACTCGCGATTGGATTGGTCACTCACAAATTAGGAAGTTGTGAAAGAGTATTCGTGTACAGTATCGCCCGGCCCCCGGTCTAAAATTATATAAAGATAATAAAACACAAAATGAAAACTTTCGAGTTATATCTATATTTAAATCTAAACCATTTTAAAGCTAATAAGAAGATTTATGGAGCCTTTAAAATGAAATAACTGTTTTAATTATAATCAATAAAAATGTTTTTATATGCATTTTACTATATACATGTAATGTTAAATCTTTTGGGATACTTAGGGATGTTAAAAAGCTCTCCGGAGTCAGTCTTTGAGTCTGCCAGCCCGCTCAATTCCAAGTTGGGACTCTAGACTTGAGAAGCTTCAATATCACATGATATATCAGGTGCCAAATCGTCACGAGCATACAATACAGTTAAAGTTCAATATACTGAAAGCCTCGAGCTATTCTTTGCTTAACGTTATAACATTATTCTTCATTATATTAAGCTCTTCGTTAATAGGTTCGCTCCTGAAATTCTTCATTTGAACACGAGTTTGCTTTATCGAGGGTTCACTTTATCGAACTTTAACTGTATCGATATCATCATAGCAATTTAATAATGCCACTTTCAGATTTGTTTAAGAAAAGGAAATTAAGGAAGACTATTATTGCATTTATGTACTTGACATGTATTTTATTTTTCTAAACAAAAATAATTGCAGGACAAACACGGTTAATGAGAACAAATATAGTCAAGATAAAAAGGCTATTACAAAACAGTTATGTTTATTATGCTTGAAGAATTGAAAATTTTAGAATAGATATTACGTAAATAATGAATGTTAATGTTAATACATGTATATATAAATGA